GCCAATAATCAACATAATAGCATGTACCCGGCAGACCTGTCCGGCTACCATTTTTTGAGGGCGACGCTAGGGTCGTTTGTGGATAAGACTGATAAGGTGCTGTGTCGTTAGGTATGCCCTTTCAGAAATGCCATCGGGTCATCTGACGTGCGTTAGTTGCAATATGACGCACAACATAAATATATGAAATCATAATTAACTTAAACCAATGATAAATGTATAGTTATTGCTTACAATAATACAATGATTTTAGGATTTCAAGAAATCCATAGAATGGATCTAAGACGCAGTATGCCGGTATTAAATTTGCCGATACTGTATACGTATGTTTCACGGGCATAAGTTTATTTACCATTTCTGCATTTAACAGATTATTTATTAAATTAACTAATAAACATCCTATCGGAGTAATTTAATTTAGTAATAAATAAGATATATTTAGAACAATTTCACAACACCGGTATATTTATGAGTAATAATGTATATTTTTTTTTGTACAGATATGGAAAAATAAACGGAGGGATTACGTCTCAATAATTAAACGAACTAAATATAAAGTAGCTGATTCAAAAACTGAAATTAAAGACCGAATAATCGTTTTGACTTTAATTAAAAGACAGAATAATCATTTTTACTTTATAATAATTAAAAAGACAGAATAATCATTTTAATTCTGAAATAAATAAAAAAATGGAAAAACCTATTGACAAGATTCCAACAATTATAATAGTTGGGGCAGGTATAGGTGGACTCACTTTTTATCATTCAGTTCGAAAACATCTTGGGCAAAAATTTCAAGTTAAAATATTCGAACGTGAGGCTGGTCCTCAAGGTTCATTTTTTAATATTAATTATTTATTGAAAAAAAGTGCGTTTACTATTAATGACATTTAATTAATTACTTTTCATTTTATTTAATTAGATCGATGGCAAGGTTATAATGTTTACGTTAATAAAAAGGGGGTTACCTCTTTATTCTATTGTACACCACCAGAAATTCAAGCACGTTTTCCTGAAGCTATGCCAGATCCAGTCCCTAGGGAGCAACATTCTATATCAATGGTCGACCATGCCGGAAGAAAACTGATTTGTATACCACAATACAAACCTATGACCGTTTATGAAATACAAAGTATTAAACATGATTATGCTGGTCTAGTTACATATCGTAATAGATTACGAGATGTTTTATTAGGAGGAGTTGATATCCAATGGGGTAAAAAATGTGTCGGATATGAAGAAAATGATAATGGAGTTTGGGTATTATTCGAAGATGGAACAAGAGAATTTGGAAATTTATTAATTGGTGCAGATGGAATTAATTCACCAAGTATGTTTATAATGTTTATACGTTTATACCTACTTTTAATTATAACATATACCTAATAAAATTAATGATAATATTTTTTATTGTAGTCCGAAAACAGAAGGTTCCCGACTTGGAAATTCTTGATCTTGAAGTAACTAGTATCGACGTAGATGTTGCAATACCAAAATATTTTGCAGAAAGATTGATGTCTATCTACTCAAATTGCTTAGTACAAAAATCACTTGGCCAATACGGAGATTCATTTTTTTCAATGATGCGCTTTATACCAATTGATAAGTCAGATGAACCAAAATATAGGGTTACCTTTGGATATAGTTATCCAACTAATCTCGATATCAAAGAAAATATAATAATTGATGATAATAATCCAGAATCTGTTGTAAACCATGCAATTTCAAGAGTTAAACAATTACGTCCATCTTGTGAATTAACAGATATAACGATTAAAATATTATCGATGGTTCCATTATCTCAACCGGATGACAAGTATCCATTTAAAACGTATAACCCTCCACGACGTCGTCAACTTCGTGATATTAATCCATTATCTGTTCCGCCATGGAAAGATGATAGAATCGTTTTGTTAGGTGATGCTGCACATGCTATGAATCCAATATTAGGATTAGGTTTGTATTTATTAAAAATTACTTATAAAAAATTTGATTAGTACTTATTTTCATATATATTTTTTTTTAAGGTGTAAATAACGCATTACAAGATGCCGACTTGTTGACCAAGGAATTACTTAATTACGAGAATGGCAATTTAATTTCATGCATTAGACGATACAATGAACAAATGCGAGCTCGATCCTCTAAAGATGTTATTGCATCACGTAACATAGTGATAAGACAACGAAATCCATTGGGAACTTTTGGACTATTTGTTAGATTTTCTGTTTGTAAAGTCGTTAACTTTTTTCTTAACGTTTTCCTATTTATTAAAACTCGCATTTAACTTGCATATCAAAATGACACAAAATTGCTTTTTTTTTTGTTTAACTTTATCTATTATTATATAGTTCGTATCAATCACACAATCTATTCGTTTCAGCATAAGGAGACCTATTTAATTATAAACTTGTATTAACTTAGTATTATTTATAACATTCTTTATCCATATGTATATATACAATAAAGTCAATATGATATCGTTCATGTGTATAATGAATGTAATTAATAATTAAAGTAATAAAATGATTCTTTATGTTTTGATAAAAAAGAGAAAGCCCTAATTGAAAAATTACATAGCACTTATTTTTTTGTTTTGATCTACATATCGTAGCCCCTAATACAATTGACCAATAGGATGCATTGTTTATCTAATTGATAGTGTTATCCAAAAGGTAGTATCGCCATAAAAATTATACTATCACATGACTATAGATGGCAAATTGACCAATAATGAGCCATGATTTGGTGTAACGTAGCAGGAAAATTCAAAAAAACGTTATTTTGTCAAAATCTGCACATTTCTCAAAAATTCGAATAAGAAAATACCTTTTACGCTCTAACAAAAAAAATTCCTTGAGCAATTTTACTATAAACCCGCTAGTAACTAGCCTTATTAGAAATGCTAACCCTAACCTAAATGAACTTTAAAGAATTTTTCGATCATCACGTGATAGTAGAATGTTATGGGGGGATTGCTACAGACACAGCATGGCCTGCATTAAAGTTAAGGTTAGTGTTAGAATATGGCAGAATTAGGGGAATTATATCACGTGCTGTTGTGTTCATAGCAATCCCCTTTTATGGCGGTACTGGGGAAGATGCAAAAGGCATGCCAAGTTACATGACATGAGCAGTCAAAACTATTGGTCAAAATTTAAATAATAATTCAGTAAAATAAAAACTTTTAAAAAATGCTTATTGCTATTTGCATTTCATGTAATTCTTAAAATAATATGCAAGAACATGCGAAATATAATTTAATTAATTTTGTTTTTGAACTGTTGATTAAAATTAATGTACTAATTTAATTACATAATATCAAAAAATATATAAGTTTTTTGAACTAACATTATTAAAATATAAGATTTTATTATATTTTTTTATCATAACCAAAATATTACAATAATTTTATTAAATTTGATCATATTATTAATAATATAGCTATTATTACACTTTGCAAAAAAGTGTAACCTCACAATTTTCATGACAATGATAATAAAAAATTTCAGAAATTCTAAATAGTCTATCAATCATATATTTAATTAGTAATATTTTTATTTTTATTTTTATTTTTTTATTTATTTATAATATTAAATAGGAAAAATTGATAATACATGAGCATGTCAATCAGACATAATTGTATAACTAAATATTATTCCTAAACTATAC